ATATATATGAGAGCCCCTGCCTCTGTGACATCCATTTGGACACGTTCTATTTAGACATGTGCCTGGTATGTTCCACCTTTAAAATGGGACCAATATTATAAAAATGAAAAATATAACTGTAAGTCCCAAAGGAGATTGCCAACTATAACACGCTTTCCTGTACACAGTCCCACCCTTACCAATGCAGAATGTGCCTGGTGTGAGCCAACTCCAATTTTTAGATTAAAACAAATTTGAAATAGAAGTGAGACATGTCCCTTCCTCTCTGGCAATGAAGCTGGAAAGAGGAGGACTTTGGAGTTGGCCATCATGTTAGTGGTCTTCTCACGGCACTGAGGCTGACAAGTAGGAAGAAGGAGAATTGAAATACGGGGGAAGAAGTATGGCTATCATCAAGCACTTAGTTCTAGATACCTGGAATATTTCCTTCCAGAGCCACTTAGATGAGATAATAAACTCTCCCTGGGCTCCAGCAAATTTGAGTTGGGTTTCATTGCTTGCAAATACCAAGGTCCCATTGACTTGGTACTTTGTTATATATTTTTTACTATTGAAATGAGTCATTTATGTGCCTCATTTCCCTGATAATAAAATAATTTTCTTCACTGTGCTAGCTTCCTCCAACACACCTGTCCTATGGCTAAAAACAAGACCAGTGCTTAAAATATATTCACTGATGGCAACTAAGGAGTAGATGTATAGTATTAAGAATAGCTGTAGTCAATGGCGCATAACAAGTTTTGTTAAAGTAGTACCTCTTTGTTCTGAACTTGCATCGAGCTGGCTAGTCTACACGAGATCCAGGTATTTGATCTGGGAATTTGCCCACTTGGGGCAATTTGTTTCAAATTTCAGAAATCAATTCTCTGCTATATATTGGCTTGGCATTCCCAAATGGGCTTTCATTTCTATTAGGATTTTCAGTACATCTTTTCCTGAGTGTTTGGTTTTCCTTCCTCCTCTTCTGTTCCCCCTCATTCAGCACATAATAGCTTTCATTAAGTTTGAGTCTCCTGTTTTGGTGAGCTAAAAGACATTTCCTAAAAGGCACATGAATGGCCCTTAAAGCTGAGAGCTTTGTCAGAGGGGATATTTTCCCTCACTGTAACAATCAAGTTGTTTGATTAGGTTAAACCAGGTCCCTCTCCCTCACCAGTCAAGGTCACGGCCTCCTGAGTCCCACAGGACAGCAGAT